CTTTCCACTTTCCAGAGTTCTGTTTAGTGCCGTGAAAGATTGCATTCTCTTCATCCTGTTCCAAAAAGCTATGGTGCACACATACACACACACACACACACACACACACACACACACAAACAAACAAACAAACAAACAAGCACAAAAGAGTGAAAATTTGAGGTCATTCCTATTACATGCAATGAAACCACTAAGAGTTTTGGATGTCTGCCATTTTTCTCATGGTCAGTATTTACAACTCACAGGTCTGGTTAGATAACTGACCCTCATTGAGCAGATTAACTACAACTTTATTTCTAATTTTAGCTGTTATTAAAAGGAAAAAAAATTCCACTAAAAATGAAATATTTTAAAATTTTGAGCAATCTAACTAGCCTAAATGAAATTGAGATATGGAAAAAAAAAGACTCTTTTTTCTACTTCAGAGCAGTTTTCTCTGGGCATTTGCAATCACTGCATGAGGTAAACTTCTTTACGGGGGAGACTTGTGATAGTTAAACTGGGACATGCAAAATAAATTTTTATCTTGTTAAAAATAATTTGAGGTTTGGAATGTCAGTAACTATAATTTTGAAAAACTGATCAACTTAAAAAATATTCAGACTGATATTCAGAATGTTACACTGTAGACGCCAACATATGTTATCAGAAAGCTTTAGAACTTCAATATATAGCTCTCTGATAAAAAAAAAAAAAGAAAGAAAAAAAGAAAGAAAGAAAGAAAATGGGAGGAATTGAAATTGTGCCTGATGTCCTTAGTTTGGATCTCATTGCTCCTTTACAAACCCGATGAAGAGATTCTGAGCTCACAATGCTGTTTATTTCTCAAACAACAAAACCAAGGTATTAAAAGATAAGAATATTATCTCTTCCATTCAAAAAGTCTTCATAAACATTGGGAAAAGAAATGCTTTGATTAAACACTTTTATTTTAAGGATATTTTTGCTTGCATTATCAAGCTGGGTTGGAGTGAAGCTGATGATCATCTTGTTTATATACAAAAGCAAAGTGTGTCAGGTTTTTTTCTGAACAGGACATCAGTAAAGAAAAGAAAATGACTCCTCTTTCTTTCAGTTTTATGAGTGTGTGTGACTTCCCCATCTGTGAGTCTTGCAATAAGGCAAGAAAGCTGAAATGCCCTGTCAGCTGTCTTTGAAAGATGAGGTTCAGATAAAAGGTAGCCAACTTCAAGATCAGTGCAGGAATCAGATTCCAGAAACTTCAAGAGGTTTCTAGACAAACTTCAGTATTAATCTAGTCTTGTGCCAACGTATGTCCATTGAAAACAGCAAAGTTAGGTTTAACAAAGTCAAGAGGAGATCTTAGTACTTAGTTTGGAGGTGAACACAGGAGCAGAGTTAGGCCTCATCTTGCAACTTTTTGTTTGCTTCTTCTTACTCGCGCCCTCTGATGTTATTTATTAGTGTCTCCTCTTTTCTGCTTGCTAAGGTGACCAGACCTTCTGATGGCCAAACGGAAGGTCACACCAACGGAGCATCTGCCCTACTGCTGCTGGCACAGAGCAGGGCACCACAAGATGGAATAAGGGATACTGCGCACTGACATTTGTTCCAGAGCAGAGAGCCAGATATACAAACCCATTCTGGATACATATTTTTTTCTATAAGAGTGTAAATCTAGTTTTGAATTTTGAATGTCTCTAAGTTAAATGAATGAGTAAGATCTGTGATGGGTCCTCAAAAGGAAAAAAGCTTATTAAGAGGCAAATGCCAGAAGGGAGAAGCTCTTTTTCTTAACTTCAGAATGCAAAAAAAAAATATATATATATATTTACTTGAGATCATAGGAGACATTAATAAAAATTATTTTGGAAAGAGCAAAACCTCTAACCTCAGTGGAGCTGCTTGAATTCATGGAGATATGAGGTACTCATTTGGAAGAAATGTCGAGTCTTATGTTGAAGTAGTATAGCAAACGAAGCGGGTCCTTATTTCTGTTATTATATATATCCTTTCTGATGAGAAAGGGTTAAGCACGAGTTAGGGATGTATGTGAAAATATATGGGTGAAGTAGGAAAAAAAAAATCTCTTCTAGCTTGAGTCACTCCATCTGTTCCCTTAATTCAGTGGCAGACCTTGACTGGACCCTGGGATCTGCTAGTCCTACACTTCATACAACTTCTCTCTGTAAATTAAGTTGTTGGCTTGTGTTGCCGAGGGTTTAGGAAGGTGAGTGATGACCTTGGTTTGAGTATGTTTGTATAGAAACATGTCACTGCAGGATGATGTCTTTCCTCCAGGGACCTAGGGCCCAATACTAACCATTTGTTAAGAAAATACCAAAGCTAAACATATCCAGCGTATGAAAGGATCCAACACCCTTGCCAAGTGTAACTTTCACTCATCTTTGAAACATCAATGTACACTATATTTTAAAGGTTATTTTTAGCACTTGTCTTTTAAACTGTTTCCCATCTGATGTTAACATCTTGCAACTTTAAAACTAATATGAGTTATTTTTATTATTAAAATGGGAAATCTCTTTAATATATTGTAGTATGGCAATATGTTTAATATATGTTTTAAAAAGGAGGTCGAAAATAGTATTTATTCTCAAGACTGAGGACACATAATTCCAAAGAAGCCACATAATGCTTTCAAGTTCTATGTTTCTTTATATAGCAAAGATCAAAAATAAAGTTTTAAGGAGGATATAGTTCTTTTATTTTTTCCGTCTTCTTTGCAGTATTTTCCAGGCAGTCAACTGCATTCCTGAGTGCTGGTGTGTGTGTGTGTTGATGTTTGGTGAATTCCTTATGCTTGTTGAGTTGTCTGAGAAAGTTCTATGGTTAATGACAGAAGGTTTCTTGCAGTGAGGATTTTGAAACCAGATGAGGTGCTCTTGTTATCCCGCACGGGCTCGGCCGGATCGGTTGTTTTCATTAGCTCATGATATTCACACAAAAATTTGAAAAGAAAAAATTGGATTAGAACCACATTTTTCAAACCCGGGTAATCTAAAACTGAGTTCCTAAGTGTGGATTTAGATACTTAGCTTTAGACATCCAAGTCTGAAATTGTTGGCCTTGTTTAATACCCCTATTCAGGATTGATTAATGTACAGTCAGGATGTTTTTCCTTACAGCAAAGCTATAAATGTTACCTTTCTAAAGTTCAGCCCATACTTACTTGGTATATCTTTAAATAATTTATCTTCCTTCCCTACACTCTTTAAATATTTCAGCCTATTTTAGCTTACAAAACAGTTGTGAAATCATTGATTTGGCATTACGGCTTCTCCAAGTCTCAGGCGGGAAGGTAGCTGGTGTGGGAGATGGCCTCTTGTTTAAAGAGAGAAGCACAAAATCCCAGCCCCTTTACAGTCAGTGGGAGCTTTGCCCCTGGCTTCTACATGGAAGGGAATTTACAAGGAATTTTATTTGCAGTGAGACACCTTTGGTCCTAAGTGATGCAAATGGAGCATGATTGCACCAAAGGCAGTGAGGACACAAAATGCAAAACTGGCCTGTGGAAGGAAATCAGAGGAAAAACAGGCAGAAAAAAATAGGAAAAGTCAAGCAAAGTAATGTACCTGCATTAAAAGGAAGTTGCCTCTCATAAATTTGTCTTTAAAACTGTCAGGAAAGGTCTCCTGTCCTGTGGAACCATTCATAATCGATGACTGGTAGAAAATAAATGAGAATGATAAATATATGCTTTTTTTTCTTCTCACAACGAATAGTTAAGAATTTTCCTAAAAGTGATTAGGAACCATTTCCAAATTCTTTTTTTCCTCTACATGTATATAAATTTTTGTCATACTTGAACTTTTAAAAATTCACAAACCTTACTCACTCTCATATAAACAAAAACCACCAACATGTTTTAGTTGTCCTTCTCTTGCAACTGTGCCCTTTGATTTCTTCTATTTAAAGAACTATATTAGGAATGACTTGATGTAAGGAATGCACTCAAGCTCTTCAGCTGAAAATGGAATGCTGAAAATAGACTTTGCTTTATTTACAACCACTTTTATATAATTTTTTGGAAGCTGTCATTCCATTACTTTCCACATTAGTCAGTGAGGAATAAGAATATATTTGAATGGAGGAGCAGAGACTAAAGGTCATGTCATTCAATAATAAGCATATTTTCAAGTAGGGCCAGCCCTGAAGTACAGAGGAAAAGCTTGGACAGGTGTCTGGAGAAATACTCAGAATGTTTTCTGGATGAGAAAACACTTTTAATATAATAACAGAATAAACTGTTAAATAAACAGAATAAAATGTTAAGTGTATTTTGTTTTATGTTGAGCCTGAAGAAAAGAATAACAAACCCTTTTAACGGCAACCAGGGTATCATTCCCCAAATAATGGGAAGAGATGCAAAGCCCTGCGTGGTAGTAGGAGAGCCACAGCTAGAATACAGTTATTGGCTAGTTGTTCTGTGGGACCTGGGGGCAAACAACCCATAGCCACCTCCTTCAGAAAGACAGCTCCAGTTTGACAACTCTCAAATTTCAATGGAGAGAAAACAAAACCTTTAAAAATCTTTCCTAGCAACAGGGCTGGCTCAGAATGTGAGTTTTCCCATTGGAAAGAGAAAAATGCATATTATGGCATCCCCTGAAATCCAGTTAGTGCCAAACACACTCCAGAGGTGTGTGCAGAGGGGTTTGCCCACTTGGTTTTGGTTTGATGATGTGGTAAGTTGAGCTGCAGCAGTTGACTTTGCTCTGAGGAAGGTTCGCATCAAAACCTCATCTAGGTGAACCTGGCAAGAGGTGAAAACAACCATGGTGGAAGATGAGCAGTGGACATTTCTGCCTTCTCCTATGACAGAGACTCTTCATGCAGTCCAAAAATCTCCACCTACTTGGCCACCAACCCTAGTTGCAGAGAAAAAATGGTTCCCCAAATTGCATCCATCCCATTCCTCCACAGGTGCAGCATTTTTGTGTGGTGGATGGAGAACAGCTGCTCCTTCTGCTTCTCTATTTCTTGCTCTGTTTCCTACCACTGCCTTTTGCTACCCAGTTTCAGGAAGAATGGGATCCTCCTGGGGTAATGCTTAAGCATAAGATGTGAAGACTTACTTAAATTTATTTGACTCCAGTTCTTTCAAGTCTTCTAACTGTGAGTGGAGTACCTAAGGGAAGTAGGACAATAGGCTCTACAAGAAGTATTTTGGAGATAGATGGTAGTTTTTACAAGAATTACCTTGTTTCTCATCTTTTTCCTCTGAGTTGTAAGAAAATTTTCTTTTTTTTTTTTAAGAGATTTTAAAAAGTATGCTAGCTTTTACCTCAGTTTAACAAACAAACATTGTTTCTTTAAAGTCTATTAAATGTGCTCCCCAGTAGAGGTGCATGAAGTAAACAAAATTTGTTTGTACTTGGCCCTTTTAGGAAAATCAGAAGTATCCTAGCAGATTTACGTGAACTCTTGGAGTATGCTTGTCAAATATGTGTGTTTTTTTAATGGATTGTTGCAAATCTGTTTGCTCTCAGAAAATATTGTTTTTCTTCTTCACCCTGTGTTCTTCAGTGTCCTTCTTTAGGCAACCTAGCACTAAAGTAACATCTCTTAAATTAGTTTTATTTATTATTGTGTTCATCAAGTGATAACTTGTATAATAGTCTTGCTGAATCAATTTTTGCCCTGATTATTGATAGTATCTGTAGATGTTGCATATTCCCATATCCATAAGACTGGAGCAACCAGAGGGAATAAACAGAACTGCTGTGACAGGAAGAGACTCTTAAACATCTTCTGTTTGTGTGCCCATGGATGCCATTTGTAGGGAATTACAAGTAAATGTAGTTATGCTCTGACCACATCAGATTTAGTTTTTAAATCTAAAATTTTAAATGTTTGCCTGTGTAACTCTTTTTATGATTTAAGTGAAAACAAGTTTTTTTTTTAATCAATAGATTTATAATTGTGTAAGTAATTACATTGCCTCATGATCATCAGTAGGAGAAGTATGAAAAGTTTGACTCTGTACCATTTGTGGAAATAATGGTTTGGAACTTTAAACCAGCTTTTTTTCAAATGTATTTTCAGTCATATTTTAAAAGGAAAAACTGCAGATGTCAGTCAGTATTCACATGCCTGTCTGTGACTATATTTCTATTTTATTAAGAGCTTAATATGTCTTCTCAGCATTTCAAAGCTATAGACAACAATTTTAATTAAAAATATATTTCTGTGGTAAGTACATGATACTGTACACACACACACACACACACACACACACACACACACACACACACGAAAACAGGTCTGGCTTTCAGAATCCAGACTTAGACTTGCTTTCTTTAAAGCTGATAATTTTACTCTCCTCTTACTCATTTTAGAGATGAACTTAATGTGTGAAATTCTGGCACAATTTGGGTCTGAACTTGCGAAACTGTTTTCCCAAACTGGAGTGTCTGGATTTATGTTCTGATGGATGTGTTTTGTAATGAATTACAAGGGAGGCTCCTGGCAAGCTATCTGACTTTTTCCATTGTATTATGCTTTTGAAGCTTTGATGCTTTTTTGTTTCTGTTAAAAGTTAGCATTTAAAAGACTGCCCAGCAGAGGAATATCTAAAGAAAAGACACTCCTCTGCTCTTGTTTCTTGTCCTTAGAACCTCCCTGTAGGTCAATTTTCTCTGCATTAGGCTTTCTCTTCCTCCTCACTTGCTCTACTTGGGAGGAAAGGTGGCATCTAGGACCATCAATACAGTAAGGTAATACCAGGATCATACGAAAGCTGAGGGAGTTAATGGGATTTGGTGGAGATGGTATCGTAGAGGGGACATTTAAGACCAATTTCTTTCCCTCCTGTGGTGTCTCAGGAATTTATACACACAGAAAATTCCCTACATTTGGGAATGGGGAGAAGGGCTAGATTAAGCTCATGAGCTTCCATCACTGACCTCAAAGTAGCACTTGGTCCTAGCAGCCAAGTCTTGCAGTGGTAGCGGTCTCACTAATTCTGAAGCTTAGAGGTAAGAATCTCCGTATTCTCCGTAACTCCGTATCTCCGTAACTGAACCCTAAGGACGAGGAGATTTTTGCAGGAATTTTTCGTGGCGAAACCAAACAAACCTTGGAAACTATATACAAAGAGCAATATTAAAAATGAAAGTTGAAAATTCTAAGGTTTGAAAATGGAAACACCACATTATAAGTGGTGTTTCATCATATCCTTATGCAATTTTAACCCTCTAATCTTAACTCTATCCTAATGTATATAAGCAATAGGATATGATTTTTATTTTTTCAACTTGCAAGCTGTGAAAATGAACAATGTGAAATGTCTAGAAGAGTGGTGAATTGCACATATGCAGATGAACATCTTTCCAATGTCTATAGGTTTATTTTAATTCTTAAATCAAGATATTTTATTTCAAGATATTTTGGATATATAATTTCTGGATATGTAACTCAAATTTGAAGAGCGATTTCAAAGTCCTCAAAAGTAAAAATCAAAAGTACCCTCCAAAAGTTTAGCTTTTGAGAACAAAATGTGAAATGCAATCAGAATCAAAGCCAGTAATAGCTTATTTTAAAACTTTTAATGGTTTCCAAAAACTAAGAGTAGTGGTTATTTCAGCCATCAGATTTCTGTAATGATTGTAAAGTGCTAATTTTCTGAACCACAGCATGAATTATCACCATATTTTTCTACTATGCTGAAATAATAATTGAAAATAATTTCTCTGCTGCATGTCATATTAAGTAATGATCATTAGGAAAAAGTACAAAGATAAGTAAGAGAAATTATCCAGGCAGAATGCTATATCAGTTATTCCCTATTAATCTTATAGAAAACTGGACTGAAAACTTAGTTTTTAATGAGCAATAGGAAAATTGTTTGATTTCTTTTGATTCGGCACTTTCTTAGTTGAAATTGATAGCTATTGAAGAGCATCTCGTGGGTAATATTAGATTATTTGAGGGGTTTCTATTGCCACCTAGTGGCTACCTCCCTTCCTGTGCATTAGTATGTGTTTTCAAAGGATTTTCTCTTGTGTCCAGAGCAAAGGAGCTTAAGGGCAGGTGAGGGAATGACACAAACAATTAAATTCAAAGTCTTTAGATAACAAAACAAAGATTCCCTATTGTAAGGATGCTTTATTTTAAGGATTCTTGATTATAAAGATTTTAAAATTCACTCTGAGTAACTAAGATGTACCACATTTCATAAATTGACTCATACAATAGCTTAGTAATGAAAACTACTTATAAAAGAAGTAATACAAATCTGCATTCTCTTGCTCAGAGCAGTTGTTATGGATGTGATGCGACTCGGTCTTCCTTGGACTTTAATCTTCTGTAGCTCTCTTTGATTTCAGGGAAATCGATCCATTTTTACACCTGGAACAAAATCTGCTTCTCCTCTTATAAAAAGAATGAGAAGTTCATGTTGTTCTTGACAAGCCATGTTGAGATAAATCACATGAAGTATGTGAGCTGTTCAGTTCTCATGAGTCTTTCTTGATGATAAATATTATTTCTGATGTTTTGCACTTGTACACTCAGTTGTGAGTTAAAATAGAAAGGAACCCAGTCATTGTAAGTGGGAGGCTTAGTCACCTCTTAATTACCCTGATAATCAATTTGACAGACCCTCTAAGTCTGGGGAGGTGTGTATATTTGTGGATGCAAGATCAGTGTAAGTAAAATAAGAATTAAGTCACAAACTTGAATAAAGTCTAGACGTTTTTTCTTTGTACCTGATCTCACGTGAATTATATGACACTGTAATATGGATTGTATTACATAACACCTGTCCTTAAGAACTCCTTGTATGCAAACCCTTGTGGGATTTTATTTGCCCACAAAAGTTTTCCGAAATAGCCTTCTTTTTGTATTAACAAGTTCCCTCTATGTAAATTTCTGTCATATTTTGTTTCAGTGTAAGCCAAAAAAAATCCAGATTTTATTTCTTTAAAGTTCTATTTCAATGAAAAGTAAAAATTGTAGGCATTAATTTTGCCCCTGCTGGTTAAAATGGAATGGTGCGTTCTGAGTGATAACCACTCCTCCTTTTAAAACAAACCACACAGTTTTGCCTTGGCAGGCATTCAGAACTAGAAGACTTATCTGCTTGTAACGTTTTCCTTCACATACATGGTCACTCAGTTTAAATACATTTTTGAAGTATGGAGCAAACTACAGAATGGAAAAAAGTGTGAAAGCCCTGATATATCTTTATTACATGTGTATAGAGTTAACTCTTTCATTCCTAGTGATTTTTTTTTTATTATTTTTTTAGCAGCATGAGAACTGTCTCTCTGAAACCCAGACTTCCTGCAATGGGAGATTTCTCTGAATTTATTTAATAAGCAGATTGACTAGCAAGAGGAGAGTTTTGTGATTGGTGTGGGACTCGGAAACAAGTAATAATTTTCCCACTCAGTCCCAGCCTTCTGTATAAGTCTTAGTTCACTTTGGCCCAGATTTATTTACTTCATACAAGGTATTTAAATACTTCAAAACACTACTTTCAAAAAAAAGTACTTTTCGAATACTCTTCTGCCTCAACTTTCTACCTATAAAATAAGGCGCTCCACAGTAGCACTTCTTTCCCCTGTCTCTCCTTTATTTATAGACAGTCTTTAGGAAGAGCAAAGCACATACCTGGCTTTTGTCTCAGCAAATCCCTCCTAAAGAGTGAGAGTTCTTGGAGATTCAGGCTGTCTTTTCACATGAGGATCTACAACAGTTGGGATGAGGAGGCCCCATCCTGGGTGTAGACCTTGAGCCACTGCCATGTTTCAAGCAGTAAAATAAGTCAGGAAACCCATGTGAGTGGCCATTCTTCAAACTGAGTATGGCTTATTCACACTGAAACTTCTAATTGCAAAATGAGCAATTATGATGATTGCACTTCTAGAAATGAACAGAGTTGATGGAATGGACAGTATATTATGGCAAGTCTATCAAGGGCATCTATCAATCCTGCCTTAATGCTTGCTTGACAACTCCAGGACAGGAACTAGACTGATGTCCCTGAGACCAGGAACTGAAGCTAGAAACAGTTAGGAACCAGAGGTGGTTTGCAGTTGTACTTTTCTTATTTAAATGCTGTCTGTGTGTTTACATGTCTGCATGTATAAACATAAACATTTGAATGGGGAAAAGGATGCCTGAATTTCTGATTAGATTTTTTTTCTTTATCATCTCTAGAGGTGTTTTTCAAAATGGCAATTTTTGAGGCATGTTGTGAAAGTGGTTCACCTATAGCATATCCCAGATCATTCATTTGTTCATTGCATTTTTGGCTCTGGAAAATTAAACATTGCTTTTGGTGTGTGTATATAGGGAGTGGGGGGGGGGGTTAAAGCACAAACTTCCCAAACACACATCATTTTCTCAAATAGCACAAGAAAAGAACTATCAGTATCTATTTAAAGTTGTATATCAATATGATGACAAGTACAAATACCTGAATTTTAGGAGTAATAGCCAGCTGTATAATTTGTCTGGTTAAGAAAAAGAGTTAATGGAAATTTGAAAGTTATCTTTACAGCTCAATATTGCTATAGATTTCCTGAGTGCTGTGTGCTGCAGGGTTAAGATGTTGTTTATAGGATAAGGCATTTCTGCCAGGTAGCCAGGATGCTGCTTACACGGTATGGCCACAATCCAGCCAGATGTAAATTTTCCCAGTACGAGCATTAGATTGGCCATGCTTAAAATAAAGGAGCTGAAGGAAAAAAAAAATCTGGAAGAATATAGCACAGGGAAAACTCTAGAGTTAATTGATAGGGTGAGATGATTGCAGGGAAATGCTGCTCACTTGGGTTCCTGAGACTGTAAATATCTTTCTGAAATGTTATGGTGTTTGTACGGCTGCAGTTAGTGAAAGAAAAGAGAATGAGGCATACGGGAAAAGAGTGACATGGCTGAGGCGCTGGGAAGTGCTTCAAGTCGCTCTAATGCTCTTGGTGATAGATGATGGGATTTTCTGAACCTCCAAGTGGACAGAGATAGCGGTTCACCCAGTGTTGTCCGACCTGAAGAGCACTCAGGTGATCCAACCTCTCCCTGTGGCAAGACACCTTGGTTCCTTTCAGGTTCTCTCCAGAAACTGTCTCATACCAAAGCACTTTCCACATTGTGGGAAGCCAAGGTTCTCCTTAGACTTAGGACTTTTAAATAAAATCTTCTATTCCCTTTTCTAAAGAAAACAAGACACGACGCTGGAATTTTGTATCTCTGCTACCGTTCTGGAGGACTCGGCATTAGGAACCTCTGAGATGGCTGTGTTGCTTATCAGCTGTGTACATGCAGTTGGTCTCACCTCACAGTCCCACTGCTCTTCATCTGGGTTCAGTGCATTTGTGAGTGCCGGGGTATGGATGCATCTCCCCCCTGCTCCCTGTGATGTAGCCCCTGCCCTGATGGTGCACCAAGAGATGTGTTGTCGCCTCATTATCTGTGACCAGATCCGAAGTCAGGACAAAAACAGCTTTGGGCTCCAAGTTCCTACCTTTGTATATTCTCTCAGCGCTAATGTAGCAGCACATAAATTCTCTGATTCAGCAAAGCACATAATTTAAGTGAGTAGGCATGTGAGTAATCCCTTTCCTCTTCAGTGAAGCACAGCATGTGCTTAAATCCTGTTAAAGCCAGTTGGACTTAAACACATACTTAAAGTTTGGTAGAGTTGAAAGGCAGACATGGAAAATGAAACTGAAGAAGCACAAGCCTGTTAGCTTGACAAAGGACCAAGTACAGATTCTGTGTATGTGTGTGTGACTTATAGCTACATTTTACTCATCTTTCTGTTTACAGCAGGATGTTCTTGTAAATTTTCTTATGGCGAACTGCCATGTTTTGCAGGTAGGTTAGGACTTGGGGGAAGAGCCTAATTGTCATCCTTCCCCAGAAAACTTACCATGGCCAGATACCTGGCGTAAGCACGTCGTCTTCCTCCTGCTAATTTGGGCCTAGAAAAAGTATTTGACAGCAAGAAAAAAAAAAATCTGTTTATTCTGAAAATAGTTTGAATTTCAACTGGATATTCTCTGGAAACCTGTTCTTGATGTAAGTTAGCTTTCCTATGTAATCTCTCAAGCAACTAGTGCAAGAATGAAAGTGAAGTACAATCCCAGTCACAAGGAAACTGTTTCTTTTCTTTCTTTTGTTGTTGTTGTTGGAGCAGGAGGTCCTTTATCACTAGTGGCCGTTTCATGCTGCTGAGCTGGAGGGAAGAAGATGCACGAGCGCTATCTGGCTCCTCGTGTGTTGCAGGCTCTGCACTCTGATGGCACACAGTTCATTTCCTGACCTTAGCAGAGATGGTGGGGGGCTGGGAAAAAAAAAAAAAAAAAAACAATTCTTAATGCTGAGAAATGAATATGAAGTTCAGCTTGAAATATAGGAACGACAGACTTTCAAAAGTTGTAGCTGTATTTAGCATCAGGGTTCATGAGATCCACATGTCTCATCTTCTTTCTCTGCAATTCCCAGAGGAGGAAAAAACATTTATTATGATAGCCTGGAAGGAAAAAAAAATGCCTGTTCATCAATTTCCCCTCTTTTTAAGAGATAACCAGTGACTCTACCCGTATGTTATCTTTATCCCGAGGCAGCAAATTTATCATAATTTATTCTAGTATATTCTAAATTTACCATGTTGATTACCACTGTATAAACAACGTCTGGCATTTAACTCAGCCAAAGAATGGAGCCTGGCGCTGATTTGGAGTAGAGATCTGTGGAAGAGCTTCAATTTACTGAAGTGGCTGTAGTATCAGTACAAACACCAGAGATAGATAGCAAAGGATACGGTGGTTTTAAGAGGAAAAAATAAGGATTCTTCTCCTATGTAATGCTAATGAGCCACTTACTGAAATATATCTGTTTGGAGAGAGAGAAGCCCAAGTGACACAAGGTTAAAGAACATTAGAAAGTGGTCTGCAAGTAGAGCAGACTGGACTCTCTCATGGAAAAGCTGCTCTTAAGGCTTCTTAGGGATCAGTGGGTAAGGGTTAAGAAAATCTTTTAATAATTAATGCGTGCAAATATAAGGAATGTGAAAGCATTCTCATAGGTTGGTTGGACTAAAACCAGTTCTAATCTTGGGGGTCTGAAAAGGATTTAAAAGAGGGGTATGAGGAGGGCGTATGTGCAGCAAATGAGTTGGGGATGTGGATTTGATATAGATTTATATTTGATAGATGTTTATTTGATATAGATTTATATTTACAGGTAAAAAAAGAATCATAAAAGAATCATTTGATGAACTGGCCAATCTACACATTTACTGAAATACATCTGAAATAAAATATAAACAAGTAGATGAAGCAAATTCCTCATACAGTCTATGCCCTCAGTCTCAAAGTGACCTTTCTTAACATCTCTTCAATAGGAATGCTAAATTACATGACAAACTTTGAAATTAAAATCTGAATATGATGAATTGTCTTATAAAATAATAATATTTAGAACCTCATTTGTTTTGAGCATTTTGTTTATATTATTTTGTTTATATTATACTTCTCTGTTTTCTTATTTATCCTAGAGTACTGCTTCCTTTGGGACTGTGGGTGACTTGCCTCTGACTTTAATGATGCTTGTAAAGCCTAATCAACGTTACTCACCAGAGGATTTCAGTCTCATCTTTTACCTTCCATGTTCCGTACCCAGGTAGGGAACAGTGCATTCAAATTTACCTTATTGACACAAGAAATTAAAAAACCTCAACTTAAAAGTTTATGGTATGCTCCTCTCTCTCTCTCTCTCTCTCTCTCTCTCTCTCTCTCTCTCTCTCTCTCTCTCTCTCTCTCTCTCTCTCTTTTTTCTCTTCTTTTTTTTTTTTTTGACACGACTGTAATAATTAGGGGCTCTAAACCTTGTGTACTAGCTGATTAAAATGAAAAAAATTAGCTTCTGTTATGTGCAGAGTGCACTCTGTCATGATCTGTGTGAACATGAGAGCTTTTGGGGAAAAAGTGTGTACAAGCATAGTGTGTGCGTCTTTGGAAGCGCCTTCGAAAGTCTGTCTCTAATAATCTGTGGTTTTGATTGGAATTTTTTATCTCTGTTTAATAGTGTTAAGGAAATCCAAACATGAGCTATGTTTCTGATTTTCTGAGTTAAGCTAAAAAGATAATTTCAAGTAGTTTTCCTCCAACCTGGCACATTCTACTGATTCCATTGTATTCTGCTCTGCTGCCTTTACTGAGATTATTTCAATGTAAATCAAAGCATGATACCTTGTTAAACAACACTTGTCCGGGAAATGGACAAAGATATTTTACAGTGACATCAATCAAGGTACGTTCATCAGTTTTCGAAGTCACGTTAGATCAGAAGGAAAGATAGTGTTAAAAATAACTGCTACGGAAGAGTAAATATCCTGGCAAGTTCTGAGCATTTTCCCTTAGGCTCTAAACCCCATGCCTAACTTTCAATCACTTGATTTGTAAGAGCGACTTCTCAAATACATTACTTGAATTGATGCATGGGATCAAACTGGATTGAACAAAATATTGCAGAACTGAGTATTAGAATGGATTTTCCAGGTATTGGTGCTCAGCTTCTTCACTTCCACCTCATCGTGGCATTTTCTGATGAACACTATGATATAGCTAAGCAGCACAGTAAATCTTCCAGATAAGACCAAGACGTGCAGGGATCTTTGGGAAAAGTTTCAGCAGAATTCCAATATTTATCTTGTGGTAATATTATATTGATGGTGATGCCACATGAGTAGTGAACTCAAAGGTTGCCAATTCAGTCTTGACCCAGACAAGTGAAGGAGCATAAGCCAATCTTTGAGCATACCACCTCACCTGTAATGTTATATGCTTTAAGTTAAGCACACTGCTTCAATGCTTTGCTGGCTTGGCATGTATGAAAGTATGGTGACTTTTCTCTTAAATCCAAATTAATTTGTTTATTTTGGTGTTTGTGCTTTACAGGGTTCTATTTCAATGTGGAGAGGTTTATAAGAAATCACAGTAGTATGAAACCCGATTTAATAGTATGAAATCTGATTTTTTTTCCACCTTAGTTCTTGTCAACCAGGAAATGAGATATTATGAGAAGAGCTGAATGTGTGTAATTTTTTGACTTTGAGTTATTTGCTGGTGTGCTGAAAGGGAGCTATAAAACCCTATAATTACAAGCTAAACCCACCCGTGCACGTGTGAGGTAGGAAAGAAAGCAGGAATGTCAGGACCCTGCACCAACAGAAGGCGACTCCTGGGCCCGCTGTGGCACAGATTTAAGTGCAGAACTACAGGAGGTATTGGAGGCCATCGTGCAAGGGGTTCATTAATCAGCCCATGCAGCCTCTGTGACAGCTTTACCAAAGGCCATGCAGGAATGGCACCGGTTCTGCTTCAGGTTTGCACCGCTGCTTTCTTTTTCCTGGAGGTTTACAGAGTTTTCTTTGGCATGTGCCCTTTTCCTGTGTTTTTCTAAAACAAATATATAGTCTCTGTGTTGCTTCTGCAACCTGTGTGTACAACTCTACAGTAGGCACCAGATGTGTCTATGTTTATTTCACCAACCAGTTTTTAGCCCGGGGCACATTTCTACAAAGTGATCTTCTCTGTTAAGCAAAAAAACTTTAAGGATTTTCTTTTTGAAGAGACAGTATTCAGTGATGAGAGGATATTACAGAACCATGTGTGTATCATATCACCAGAATCATATACTGTGATTCTTTTCCGCTCCATTCTGAAATATTAAACTAGTGTTTCTATCAATCCCACAATTTCTAAGAAGGATCTTGTAACTTCCCTTGTAACTAGTTGCTTTATATAGTCTCAAATATCAGCTTCTTACAGTGCTTAGTACATGTTTATAAGAGTTGATTTTGAGTAAGCAATTTGACTGAGCAAAATGCTATATCTTTCTTAATACCATAACAATGTTCTGGTACTTGGAATACAATCTTCTGGGGCTTGTTTTTGCTTGATAACTTCTGAATAACCTTCCCTTTGCAGCTGTATTTTGGATAACCAAGCTAAAATACAATACTCCATTCTAAATGTCTCTTTGGCTGGAAGACAGGGACTGAGTCTTTGCTAATATGATCTTTAAAGCCCAGTTCTGTGAAACACAATATTTGGTTGGAGAGTTCATAACAAACACACTGTGCCAGGAAAAAAAGCTCCTCTAATCTGTTTCGTGGCGTAGCAGTTTTTTGTGTGGCTTTAGCAGCTAAGCCATGTTATTTGTACATCAGTTGGGAAAGCAGTTTGAGATCTGGCGGATTAAACATTATTGTGGCTAAGAAATAAAATATCAGGTACTTATGTAGTAGATTAAGCATTATTGTGGCTAAGAAATAAAATGATCAGGTGCTTATGTTGTATTTCAGGTGTTATCGTATTTCTAGCAATGTTATGAAGAAAAGATTTTAGATTTTTAATCAAAAATAGTTCAGGCTAATATTGTGTGTCATATTCTCTTGTAAGAATAATTTGGTAATCATCAGTTATCATTATTAAAATGCGCTTGTATAAATTAAGATTCTACCTGTTCTTCCACTGTCTGCAACCTGGGAGATAACTCTCTAGCTGGCAAGCGAGAGAGAAAGGGTATGCTAGCCAGCAAATTTAAGAAGCAAAATATTAATAGGGACCTTCTATTCTGTGCTGGTTTAGTGCTTGTTACCACCTTCAAGGCATGGCCCTGGAACTTCTAGTACCTGCAAGGGAGACACTAGAGATGCCGTAAATAGGGGTGGTAGCCAAACAGCATGTATTTGCTTTGAAAACTCTTCTTTAGGTGAAAGATGAAGTTTCCTCACACCTGCTTCGCAATCTTGACTTATTATTATTTTAATTTGGGCACTCAAGTTTAAGCAGCTGAACTTCTCAACTGACTTTCCAGGGTTGACACAAGCCCTCGAAGGTAAGAGTTAGATTTCCCAGAATATGGTCTTTGAATCTGTTTAGTTTTATCCCCATATATTGCAAGTTGTTTCCACTACGATGAGTCTAAACATTTAAAAAAAAATTATCTCTGTATGTTTATATTTTCGTCATTTAATTTAAACAAGATATTACAAAGTCTTTGTATCCAAAGTAAACACTTGCTGCTTTGACACTGCAAAATGTGATGCTGTAAACTAACTGGATCTTTTCCAGCTCCTACCTTGTGGGCCTTGGTTGGCCTAGAACCAGATTTTAATGTTACTACTGGGACTCCATTTTCAAAGTAATAAACAATTAAACGGTAGCAGTGTGGTGGTGAGGAAATCTTTTTACTGTAAGACTTCAGCTGGCTCAGGTTTCTGTTACCAGTGATTTTACAAGCAAACACTAAATTCCCTTTTTTATTCTTTCTTTGGACTTCTCTAAAGAAAAATGGTGCAGGAAAAGTTCGGTGCCATAACCTTATATAAGAAATTAAATTGCTTTAATGAATTAATTCTGCAAAGTCTTTGTTAAACACTCAATTCCAGACTTTGTTAATTGATGATCTTCCCTGCTATTTTCTCATACTTTCTATAAATTAAAATATAGTGCTAATACTATATACTTCACATCATCACCAAACTAAGTTATTTTAACTAGTTGGAAGACAACATAATTATGCCATTTAACTTGGATAGAGATGAACTTGATTTGTGATTAGGGTTTGTGACATGATTTTTTCTCTTTTTATTTTGTTTTAGTATCAAAATGCTTACAGAAAATAAGATTAAGAAGGGAATAATCAAAACAAACTCACTTATCTTTTACTAGAAAGTATCTTAAATTATTTTGAAAGCTCTGTTTTCCTCTTCTTTTTCATGCAACCCGCTGTGTTCAATAGTTACATAAATTAAAAGCAAAAGAAAATGAATTCCACCAAAATTTGAAAAGCACATTATCATTTGTTCAAGTTTGCATCCATACTAAAATATTCACTAAAAATTACAAAACCACTTGATCACAGTTGCCCGTGAAGAAGACAACAGCTACTGGCTATGAGGATTCCAGTAATGAAATCCTCCAAATAATATCCTCCAAAATATTCCAAGTAATATAATAATGAAGGAAAAGAAAGCTCTGAGGACAAATATAAGACCAAGAAGACAGAAAAAATAATCAAACTAGAAGGGGAATAAAAAAAAAAAGATTTCTTTAAAGATCCCATTTTTTACCATAAGAAGATTTCCTATAAAGATCTGTACAGGAATGCATTGCTTAATTTTACTGGAAGTAGTAGATAATATTGGAAAGAACTGTGAGAATACTGAGAATTACTGACTTTGCTTGGATTGTTATCTTTTGTTCTGCATAGATTTCAGCAGCTTGGCCTTAGAGAAGTGTATCTTGTATTCAGAGGTGATCCCAAAATCACTGAACAGAATCATCTGTGTATTTTTCAGTATCAGCCCAGGATAAAGTACATTACAGCAAGCAAAGGATTGAGGATTTGTTCAAAACAGTTCAGTCTTATATTGAGGTTTGGGGGGAACCAGCACTTAACTCTCTCCCACTAAAAGTACCTGTTTTCATTTAGACAACATAATCTCCCCCAGATCTATCCAGGGAATAGCTCAGCTACCTCTGTGGGCACCCAGGTTGGAGGTGCTGCGCCTCTCAAGCAGAGGTCACAGATGTGGCTGCTTTCAGGTGTCCTTGCCTTGTTACAGTGTTTACGTAAAAAATTCTCAAATAAATGCTATTTCCTGCTCTACTCCTTTCTTCTATTTGATCCGATGCCACAAAATTTTAGCTAACTTCATTCTTTCATAACTGCAATAGTGCAGTTCATGTCCTTGTTCACAGAGATCAGGACTGCCCCATGTAAGAAAAATGTAAGATCATCCAGGAAACCCTTTCCTTCCCGACTTCTGTACAGACTTTCTTTTATGCTGCTTTCCCAAACAATCTCCCAAAGTACCTAATTGTAATGTCGCGTTTAAATCCTAGTGAGGTCAATGTCTTTTCCATTGACTTTAAAGAGTTTTGGATCAGACCCTAAGTAAATAATGAGCATTTCTTCCACCTCAATTTATGTTTAATTTCCAAACTAAGCAGTTATGTCTTTCATCTTTATTCTTTTTATTTTTTCAGGATTCTACTTGTTATTTTAAGGGAGCAGTAATATATACAGCATCTGTATACACAGAGTGCAATATATACTCCCTGAAGTCCAGTGGATTGTCTTTGTGGAGGGATGAATATATGACTGTAAGAAACTCTTCAGAGTTCATCCAGAATACAAAGCTGCTCATTACTTTCTAGCCTGGATTCAGTCAAGGTATATTTAACAGTGATTTAAGATTTTCTTTTTTGGATTGGTAGAAATGATGATAAATAATTCAGAAAAGAGGTGTGTGTATATGGTAAGAGAGGAAAAAGAAAAGCCCTCTTCTAATATTCAGCCTGCTGTTCAAGCCTGCAAAACTGAGGAAATGTTAATACACATTCAATAACTAGTTAGAGAATAAAGCAAATTATCTCATCTACAGACCAAGGTGAAGTTGCTCCCAACTGTACTTTTTCTGGTGTTTAGTCCCCAAACTAAGTACTTTTAATTCCAATCCCTTGCATGTGTGCGTTATGCTAAGGCCTTTCAGTATAAAATCACGTAACACTAGAGATATTAGCTTCTCTCTTCCAGTTTTCAAATTAACTGCTGTCTATGAATGATATCATCATTGGCATGCTGTCTGTAAGCTGTTCTTGCTATGTCTTGAAGTACTTCGTATCATACCTTGCATTCTGTCATGCACTAGCTTTCATTTTCATTTCTGAGTGGAAGGATAAATATTGCCTTTGGAAAGGGTGGCAGTGGAGAAAGGGGGAAGCGCTGTGTTAGAAATAGCTGTGATGGTTTCGTCCTAACAGGAGACACCATTCCACGTTGTCCTGAACGCACCAGCCTCCCCATATACACGGAACTGAGGTGATAGGTTAAGGCAACCTTAAGGAAGATAAAGATAATAAAATTAAGGTTAAGTTAATGTTGAACCTCATGACCCTATGGGAAGGTACATTCAGGAGGCAACTCAGATTTTAGGTCTCTCTCCCTCTCCACTAATGGTAGAGAGGCCTGTGTTCTTAATATGGATTGCTCAGTGTCTATGTTAGGTGTTTTTTTGGCAAGCTGGGCTTCCTATTTTATTAGATATTCTGCTCTGAGATAAGAATAATGTGGATCTGGGGAAAAAATGAATGAGCCATCATCTCTGTAAGTTGGAGGCCAAAGTATATTAAAGGCTCGAAGATGATAAATTAGAAGGGGGAAATTCAAGGTAGCACATAAAATCTTAGCATTATAAACCCACGGCTGTAATTTAATATTTTCTAATTATCATTTCTGTGCTAACCTTAATTTTGAAATAGATTAGGACAACCCCCTAGGTTTTCCCCTTCTTCAAATGACATGCTAAAGTGATACCTTTGATCTTTTTCATAATGTTTTCATGTCATATATATGTTTTAAAAATATTTTATTGAGGAATGCCAAGTACATGTTTTCCTCATCCAAATAAAGCAAAGAAAAAAAATCTATGCACCAAATATGGTTCTTAGAGAGGAATGGATATGGAATATGGGTCTTTAGGAGAAGAAGAGCATGAAAGAAGGGAAAGCTGGAAAGGATGAGGCTCCCTAGAACGCAGGAAAAAACAGAGCTAAAAAATACATAATGTTGAGCTTCCTGCAGAAGCAAGTGGAGGGAAGAGGGGTAGAAAAGGTGGTCTTTCTTTTTACATTAGTTTTTACCATGAGCGCTGTAAAGTAAAGTAGTAGGTTGGTGGAATATTCTGTTCATATGGATCCTGAGAATTCAAATTCGGTTATTGTATTCAAAAAGGGACGTATTTAAAGAGGATAGAACCCCCAAATTTTAAGTGTTTAATTATCAACAATCTAGCACACAATTCAAAAAAAAAAAAAAAAA